CCCCCTATTTTTTTTGGGGGGGAGCCTCTTTCCCTCTTTTTTTTTTATTTTTTATTTTTCCCCCCCTTTCCCCTCTCTCTCCGTGCGCGCGTGGTGCTTTTTTCCCTCCGTGTCACTCTGTCAAGTTTACCCCAAACAAACCCAAACTTCGCCGAGCAACCACAGCTTCTCCCCCCCTTTATTTTATTTTTTTTTTCAATTTTCCCTCTTTCCCCCCCCCCCTCTTTTCCCCTCGCTGTTCCCCCAAACCTGCCGGCGCAGAGGGGGGCGAGCCGGGGTCCCCCCGACCCCCAGGACCCCCCAAGCGGCTCCGAGCGGGCGCTCCGCGCTCTCCCTCTCCCCGCGCGTGTTGTGTGGGTGCGAGCGTGGTGCCTGTCAAGGGGCTGTTTCTCTCTCCCCACCCTCCTCCTCCTCCCTTCTTTCCAAATATGCTTTTTGCAAGTTTTGATCTCGTCTCGGCACTGGCTACCCTCGCCGCGTGCTTGGTGTCACTGACTTTGCTGCTGGCCGTGTCCCAACAGCTGTGGCAGCTCCGCTGGGCTGCCACCCGCGACAAAACCTGCAAGCTACCAATCCCCAAAGGCTCCATGGGATTCCCTTTAATCGGAGAGACCTTCCACTGGCTCCTGCAGGTAAGGAGGATTCCCTGCTCTTCGCTGGCAGCCGGGTTGGGACCGCGCTTTTTTTGGTGGTTTTTTATTTTTTTTTTTTCTCCCCCCCAATTGTTATTTTTTTAAGGTGCTTTCAGGGCTTTTGCTCGGTTTATTTATTTTATTTTTTTTTTTTTCCCCCCTCCGCACCGTCTTCTTTTCTTCCCGATTGCATCATGCGGCTTCTCGGCGAGCCTGGGGAGGGAGAACCGGAGCCGGGGCAGCGGCGGAGGCTGCGGGGGAACCGAGGGAGCGCGGCCGGGCTGGGCTCGCCCCGGGCCGGGGGCTGCCCGGGCTCGGCATCGCCCCTGGGCTGCCAAACCCCTTCTCCTCCTCCTCCTCCTCCTCCTCCTTTCCTCAGCCTTAATTCTTGCCAAAAAAACTCAAATCCGTAGCGCCCGGGGTTGGATGCGGGGGTTCCGCCGCTCGCGTCCCCCCTCCCCGAGTCGCGGCTCCGGTCCCGTCCCTTCCGCGCTCCCCGGGGCTGCTCCGGGCTCCCGTGGTGGGGGAAACCCGCCGAGGTAATCGGGAGATTAACCCGGGATTAACCTCGCTAAACGCCCAACAGCGGCGGGCGGAGCGGGATCCCCCCCGCACCTCGGGGCTGCCAAAAAAAATCGGGGGGAAAAAGGGGAAAAATCCCAAGCGGGAGGCGGCCGAGGGGTGCCCGGATCCGGGGGGAGCCGCTGGGTGAATTCGGGGCACCCCAGAGCTCGCAGCATCCCGGGAGGGAACCCCCGAGGCGAAGCCGCGCTAGGGTTTCCCCCTCTTCTCCTCCTCTCAGCAACAGCCAAAAAAAAAAAAAAAAAAAAAAAAAAAAAATTAAAAAAAAAAATTAATTATAATAATCAAACGAGGATGCTGCCGCCCTCCCTTCATTGCCGCAGCCTGCGGCGGGGCAGGACAGCCCGGTCCCGGCGGGGACAGAGGCGGCGTCCCCCGGTGTCCCCCCCTCGGCACCGCCACCGCCGGGGAAGCCCCGCCACGGCGGCCCCGCTCGGCCGCCCGCCCCCGGCGCCGAAGGGGTTAACGGCACGCTCTCAATAGGGCTTTATTTTTTAAAGAAATTTATCAGATTTTTACAGGGGGACCAGAAAAGGGTTCTCGCTTTTCCACAGGCTCCGTCCAAACAGAGTCCAGGGCTAAAAATACAAAAATTTTGTATAAATTGGACTCCATTCGCAACTTGTGCCGCATAAAGGTGCTCTTTGTGCTGCCCTGGAAATGGTGTACAAATAACTCTTTATTAATGCCACAAAAAGGACTTTAATTATATTTACGCAGATCAAGAAACAGGGTCACCTGAACATCTGAACCTCACAACCGCGCTTTTGTTTCAAAATAAACACCCGCGCTCCCAGCCCGGCGGCGCGGCCGCGGCGCTCGCAGCGCCTCTCCCCGCTCGCCAGGGGGGTTTTTTTGGGGGGACCCCCCCTCTATTGCTGCGGCTCCGCCGACAAAAGCCCCTGGAGCATGTGGGAAAGTTATTAAAGTCCCTGAAATCTGGAGATTTACTTAGGCGAAGCGCTGCCTTTTTCGAGTAAAATTCAGCCTGAGAGAGGAGGGAGGGGAGG